CTCCGTCCAAGTCTTCTTCCACATCCCTGTCCACCTCGTCCACAATCTCATCGTCATCATTGCCTTCCTCTTCTTCGTCATCTTCTTCGTCGTAACGACGCCTGGGTGGCTCCCATGTGTCCTAGAAAAACACAAGTTTTAGATCCTAGAACATTCCTCTATTACGATGACATTTCTCCTCATGCTGTACCGTATCTGGACCCAGGTCATCCTGCTCTCTCCTAGACTCCTGGTTCATGCTCTCCATTTCCTCAATTTCATTATTCTTGGCATTCTTGGTGATGAGATCCTGGAGAGCCTCGGCCACTTGGTACTCCAGAGTGTCAGCCTGACTTTCAGTAATCTATAAAAAAAATAAACAATAATCAAAAGGTGTGTGATGGTTCAATCCAACCTATTGATTGGTAGAGAGGGCAAAATCAAACTGTTCAAAGTGTCAAAAAACTAATTCACAGCTGAGCTTGTGGATTCCTGAAAACAATTTACACATATGTTCATCTCGTAGCGACAGAAAAGGTTGTGCAAAGAGAGACAGAGTCCGCTCCCGTAGGGAAAATGTCAAGCGACCCACTGGGCTGATTTTCAGATGGTAAGGTTGTGCTCAGAGCTTACCAGCCCCAGTTTGAGCAGCTTGGAGACGATCCTGTCAAAAACCCCTCTGTCATCCTCCTCATATATTTTGTTGGCAATCTTCTGAACAATATCCTCTGCAGTCAGCGGGGTGCCATCAACCTGCCGGAAGCTTTCTGGGTCATCTGAAAAGAGAGCAACAATATCATTTATTTCAGTCCCAAGTTTTTGATAGACATAATACTCTATTTTTTCACACTTCTAATGTTCCTTTTATTCGGCATATCACTCCAATCCTGAGTGAAAAATGTGTAACTATAACAGCCTGACACTTGCATAACGCTGCTGCTACTTCCCGAGGTCCAAACAGTATTAATGAGCACTGCCAAGTGATTTTTTTTCCTTTTGTGAAGGTTGAATCATACTTTTCCTCCCAGCTATTTTTGGCTCTTTTGAACAAAAATCTTAAATACTGAGCTTGGTAAATGTGTAACTGGGAAAGAAAAGCTGTGTGTCACTACTGAAATGATTGCAGGAACAGAGGAAGTGTAGCAATCAGTGAGTTGAGTCTGATTCAGATCACTTATATGAGAGCTTGTGGTCAAATTACATGCATTAAGATGTTTAAACACTTAAAATGTTATGTGTTCAGGTTCCTCTTAAATAACATCAACCATACATTAGCTGAAGGACTGCACTTGGTGTAATTGCAGAATAAATATTGGGAAGTAATGGGAAGAATTTAAAGCAGTATACATATTCTGTGCTTTATTAAGAACTATAAACATCAATGTCTAATATGTTTTAATCACATAAAAAGAAAATGATTGACTTTAATAACAAAGGAGTTATAAACAAAGATGAATAGAATTTTCTTAATAGTTTTTTTTTTTTCATGCAGAGATAACATTTACACATCCCACCTCCTCTTTCTTAGTAGTTCTCAGTGATTTTCTGACTGAACAGCCTTTTTCAAGTCAACCTGCAGCATCTCAATCAAAGACGGAGCTACCATGACTTTGATTCAATCTTCATCCTGTCCTTTTTGGATTTACTGGTGTGTTTGTAGGATAACCTTGATGTTGCAGGATCTGCTTCTATTTTAATCTTTTTTTTTTGATAAACAAAAAAGTTACAAATTTCCTTGGTTTTCCTGAGATAAATGATATTATTGATGGTTGTAGTGAGACGCTAAGCCAGTTACTGTTGTCACAGCCTTAGCAAACCCTGCCAAAAAGGATATATCTACCTTTATCCATCCACAGAGTATTTAAATTCTAAAAACACTGCACAGTAAAGTACTTTATTTTCTGTTATTTTTATACACTTTTCTATGGCCCACATTGTGTGACCACTTTTGCCTTTGCTGCTGTAACACCACAATTTCCCTGATTGTGGAACAATAGAGGGATTTTTCTTATGCTTTTAAGTTGCTGTTTCTGGGTGAGATTTTAGTTTACACTAACTATTCTGTCTGTTCTGATCTCCGAATGTTTTAATCTTCAGTCCAGAATTCCTGATCTTAGTTTCTCTGCGAAGCTGCCATTTTCTCAGGATTTTCTGACAATATGTGTCCTCCTTGCACCTAACATGAAACTGAAACCTGTGCAGTCGTTTTTTCATTGTAGAAAAAAATCAACTTTTTTTTTTTATCTGAAGGTCGAAAGCTCTTTGGATCTTGTCTTAAAAGAAAATTCCGACGAATCATGTTCTTATCATATGCATCTGACATAATATATCCATGTGGTATTTTAAGAACAAATAATGGTAATGACAATTATACATGTTAAAACACAGCAACTATAATAGTGTTCTTTTTTTTCATATAATGTGAACATACAGACCCATCACAAACTTTCCTGCAGTGTGAAAGAGGACTGACAGAGCAGAGCATCAGCTTTCCCCTCATCAGAGTAGAGGAAGAAGGGGATAATCTGTTTCTGCTGGATTCACGTGTCCTGTCTCTGACTCTCTGGCTGCTCAGCTCCATTATACCCACGTGTTTCCTCGGCCTACTCTTTCTTAAAATGTCTGCCTGGTGGCCTGCCAGCAGCAGAGAGAAGTATCCAGGATGAGGCTTGTTCTTAGTGATGAGAGGGAACAAGCCAAACAACTCTGACTGCTTATTGTGTCGCTACTAGAGACAAGTGCACCTCTGATAAAGTAGAAAGGATTTTTATTTTTATTTTTCGGATGATCGATGAAAGATGAACTGTTTTACGGTGCTTGAATCAGCAATTTTCTTTGAGAACCTAGAAAAAGAATAAAGTGATTGTTGAGTGTTAGTACCCTGGTACTTGCTGTAGTCTATTCCGCTCTTGGTGGAGTCATAGTCGTCAGCCAGGCGTCGGCTCTTCGTCGAATCGGATTCATCCGGGACATACTGATCCTCCTTCCTGACTGCCGCTTCTAGAGCTTCTTTTGACTTCTGGCCATCAGCCAGAGACTTGAGCAGGGTGAAGTCGTCACCCTGGTCTGACTCTCTGTCCTTGGAGCCCGCGGGTTGTTTACTTTCTGTAAGGACGCAGACGCAAACAGAGTGACGCTCAAGGTTGAATAATGGTGCATATGATGACTCTTTTACTGGAAAGGCTGCAACCTAAATCAGCGCAGCAGGCGGAAACACAGTCATCAATTGATTAGCAATGAGGTGTCCTCTTACCTGCTGACTGTACTGCAGCCTTTACACTGTCTGCCTCTGCAATCTGGGGAAGGACAAACATCAAACAATTGATTGTTGCTCAGGATATAAGCTCTGATTATTAATGTTTGTTGGGCTAAAAAAAGAGCCTGTTTGACAAGAGACCATAAAACCTACTCGGCCGGATATTAAAGAAAAGGTAAACTAGCTGTGGGAGGTGGAGGAAAAGGGACCTACCTGTTCCTGTAAAGGTCTTTCCTCCGTCAGCTGTCTGTTGTACACAGTTTTATCTGCAACAGAATCAATGCATTAGGTAATCAAACCGCTGTTTGAAAGCAGAATACATTAGAGATCAACCATAAAGATACTTTGGTTAATTTATCCAATTAGTTTTTACAACAAACAAACTTAAATCAATTTAAAATAGATTTTAAAGATACTTCTGCAAAATTGACCTGTCAGACTGATGTGATCTGATGGGTTTCTGCCCTCCTAACTCTCCACCAGAGGCAGAACTTAATCGGATTATCAAACAAAAGATTAAACTGTGGCGAAAATAGACCACAGGCGGCCTAAAGAGAGGGAGCGCATTAAAAACACCACCAGCCCTTATTCAGAGTTAGAGGACGCTTTTTAAAAAGTAAAACAAAAAAGATACTGCTAGTATATATATATATATATATATATATATATATATATATATATATATATATATATATAGGAGCAGAAAAAAATCTCTGTAACTTTTATCTTTATGCTAGAACTTTATGTGGTTCATGCATCTTTTTCACGATACTTTTCTAGATTTTTGTAGAAATCTTAATCTGAGTGTGCATATGTGCCCCAGTTCTCTGGAACTCACCATCCAATGAGGCTGTAGGTGTGGGGAGGGCAGATGTCTGGATCACTACATTCAGAACAAGAAGCTGGAGAAGAACAAAAAGGCCAACGCGTTTGGACGCCATCCTGAAGCAATCTGCCACGGAGCGCGCAGGAGATTGTTTCTACCTCCTGTTTGGAGCAAAGCAAAAAGTGCTGAATGTTTGGACAGCTCCTGTCCCGGTGCTGAAACTGCCGCGGAAAGGCTGCGCCTTGGGGGGCGCAGAGAGGGAGGGTCTGTCTGTCAGACGCGCAAAGCGGGTTCCGGTCGGAAGAAATGATAGCTGCGCTCCCGGAGCTGTTGACGCACGGCGATGCTGAAACCAGGTCAGCTGTCTAATTAAAAGCAGATAAGCAAGGAGGCTGTTCCAGCCCCGTGTGAGCTGCAGCATCACCTGCCAAGGCTGTAATACAAGCCACTACAACAAGACCTGCCCCCCTCATCAGGGAGGAAGGGGAGGAGACGCTGGAAACAAAGGAGGAGGAGATGAACACTGCAAGAAGAGCGCTCAATCTCACCTTTTATTCCAGCAACATAAAGATAATATAAATTGATTTAATTCCAATTTTGAATGAAATACAATAAATGACGCAAAAAATACCGCAAAAAACGCAAATGAGGTTTGAAAGATCAACAGCAAACACCACCGATAAATGTATTGCATTTAAATAAGGATTAACAAGAATATAATGCATTTCTACTACGATATTGTAGTTACTTTTTATTATGGAGTTGTAATTCCATGCAACCATACCTAATTAGCTGAAGGGAATATTTTTTGCAGCGTTGGACAAGAATATAAATAAAAAAACGCCCATTTCGTGCGTCACGGTTAATCTGCGTCATGTTTGTAAATCTTTCCCTGAATGGTCAATAGCAACCGCTGTAAAAAGGGCAATTAACCACATAAACAAAGAGAAACATAAATAAAATCGGAGTTCTGGGTGCTTTGATTTAATGAGCGGTTTTTTTTTTAATTAATGGTCATTTTTAGGGGCTCTCTGACATCAGAACAATTTTGATTAGTTTCCATAACCTCATCATTTAACTGAAGCTTTCAACAATAAGGAAATGTTAATTACATTTTTTCTTCCATATATTTTAAAATAATGTAATCTAATATTAAAAATAGCTGTGGTGAAAAATTGGTAATCTTCAACATGATTATTTTCTAAATGATATTAGTTAATTCTCCCTGATAGAAATAGTTAGATGTCTAAAAGGATCATGATGGCTCAAGTTTAACACAATGGGACACTGATCTGCTGTTGGTTTGACTAACCAGCCTGAGGCATAGCATTAGCAAGCCATTCTTAGTAGTTATATCCACTTAAAACCCTCTCATTTAGCAAGAACATTTGGTTTTCTGCTTGTTTGTATCCACTCTACAATGAAAGCTCAATTGAATTTAGTTTGATGCTAATTTGGACTTAAGCGTTAGGTCCATTAGACTTTTTTTTAGCACTTTGTTGCCCCCTTTGAGTTGATCTTGTTTAGTTTGCTGGACCTGGGCATGTTGAGAGTCATATTGAATGTAACCCTCTCTCTTTAGGCCTCAGACTCTTTGACTATATAAAAAATAAAAGCTATTTTAGGTTGCAAGAAATATTGAACTACTGTAAATAAATAGTTTTTATATAATACATTCTTACCTTTTTTTTTAAATACAATTTGAATACTACAGAACTGTTAAAGTTCAAATTAAATGTCTACATAAAGATTAATTCTTATGTCAGCAAAGTTGTGATTTTATGCAACACAAAACATAGGCTTCCATTGTTCATTCAATGGAAATATATCAGGGTTCAGTTTTTATATGCACTTAGTGTCAAGTTCAGAAGAGGTTTTGGTGGACCCAAATGCAAATATGGAAGCTGAGGTGGTTTCTTGCAGATTTAATAATTCTATACGTGACAAGTGAGGCAAAAAAAATCCAAAAATAACAAAATACAGAAAACCAAAAACTAGAGGACATCAGGGTAAAAATACAAAAAGATCAAGAAACTACGAGGAACCTGCAAACCGTAACTGAAGAGAAGGAGTAATTATGTCAAACAGAACAAAGTATGCAGTAATCAACTGATCAGGAGCAGGTGTGGACAGAGGGATCTAGAATGGAGCTAGGGGAAAGGAGACTGACACATAATAAACAAGAAATACATTAGAACTCAAATCCAACAAACACCACAAAATGGAAATGAAACCAATAAACTACAAAATACAGAAAGACATGAATCAACTGAAAACTTAAAAACGTAACAGAACTGAGAAGGTCAGAATCATGACTCTGAGTTCTGAATTGCATGTTTTCATGGGTGTTCAAATGGAAAAAAGTCTCTCCTCTATATGCCTTCACAAGCAGGCTATTTTGATTGGAGAACGTTATCTGCAGTATTAAGGGAAACGATTTGGATCATGTGGTCCTTCACTGATGTTCCTTGGATTTATGAGGGCTTTTTGTGAGATTACAGTGCATAGCTGAATTCATTTCCTTTGGCTGCAGAGTTTTAATGTATCTGATCTACTTCTTAGGCTTTTTTGGAGGAAATAAATTCTTCTGATGACCTACTTTAAGGTTTTCCTGGTAGTATTGCCATGTATTCATTCACATTACACTGAGCCTGGTTAACATCAGGCTTGTCCAGCAGAGCTTTGTGAAATATGTCTCATTACACAGATATTTATCTTAAGAAAATGCGAATATATAATTCTGATCCACTGTGGAAAATGAGTAATTTTGTTATTAGTCATTGTTATTTGATATGAGTGATCTTTGTGCAGACTGTGATGCAGACCTGTTTCTGAGCAGTGGAGAAAGGGATGTTGGCCTCATTTTGTTCAATGACTATGCTTCCTTCTTTCTGCTTATCTCAGCAACCTTGAAAAACACAAGTCTTGCCAAAATCAGAAATCAAAGAGCTTTATCTGAGATTAAAGTGCAGCAGATACTCAGTCTACTGGGTCTAATGGAGGCTAAAAATATCTTGCAGTCATCCAAAATCAATGCTAAAAAGCTGCAGTGATCTTTGGAGCTATTTGTATTTGGACTGGATATTTTTTAATATATTGACCTTAATTTATCTCTTTTTTATTTCCTAAAGGATTCCTTTTTATTTCTTAGTTCAGTCTGAGGGTTTATGTTGTTCAATACTGACACCTGGTGGGTGAGCATTGTAATTACAGCCTCTTCGTTTCAGAATTATCTCGTCAAAGCAACATTAAAAATTAATGAAAGAAAGCATAGATAAATAAATGCAAGCAAAAATATAATCAAAACCAAACAAAAATACCAATAAATAAAGTACACAAGTCAAGCAAAGTTTGTTATTTAGCCCATTTCAGAAGCAAGTGATAGATAGAAACATGATAGAAACAATCAACATAAATCGGGAAGAAATCTTAATTTCCACCAAATCCCCCCCAAAAAGCTCTGAGATTCTATGCATATATGCATTTTTTTTGGCGTTTGTTGTTGTATATTATGATATTTCATAAATCAGAATATGTGATTCAAAGTACTTTTTTAAGTACCTAAATAAAGGTCAGAATTCTTTATCCTGAGCTATCTCTATAGTTATGCTGCTATAGGCTTAGACTTCTGAAGGACATAGGGACCTCCATCTCACCATTCTGCTTCATTCTATCTCTATTCTCCCACTTTGCAGAATCTAGTAGTTCAATCTCTGACGTTCTGCTCTCTCTGCTTTTTCTCATAGTAGCTTTGCCTCGTCTGTTCCTGTTTGGCTGTGACACCATCGTGGAGAGAAATATCAGCTGTGCTGCTGCCATCAACACCCTTGCTTATAGATGTTGGAGATCGGCCTGTTTTCCAGTGTAGTCCCATTTGTCTGACTGTGACTGGCTGGATGTGCTATCTTCATCCTCTGACATGGGAGCTTGCTCGGACCTCGTCTGCCTGGCTGTGTTTACTGGACGTTTTTCCTCTCCACTGTCGCTAAAAGCATGCTTAGTGTGAGCAATTGTCTTCGAGACAATGAGTCGATGCAACCAACTGGTTTTCCTTAGATAAAAAAACTTTGAATCAATTTGACCGTATGATCTGGTTGAACTGTAAAGGGCCTTGAGATGACATGTGTTGTGAATTGGCGCTATATAAGTAAACTGAATTGATTTGAATTTATTATCTCAGAGGGGAAATTTGTCATACAACTGCAGCACAAACACATCCATAGACAACAATAAGTAAAATCCTACAGCGATTGATTAAGAATTGCAATTGCAACAGATATAAAAAAGGTGTTGTGCCTTTTGTCCTGCATTTAAGGACAGTGAGTGTGCAACCAGATGGGAGGGGTTTGCTGTGGATGGCGATTTCTGTGTTACAGTTTTTAAAACATTTAACCCATATACATGCATTCAGATTTAAAGCAGAAGACACAAAGACAGCAATGAGAAAAATAAAAATAAAGAAATAGTCAGTATAACAACAAACAGTAAAATCATACATTCTCTAATCTTCAAGGTAATGTGCAGATTTTCTAAAGATTTATGCTGAACAACTTCGTAAAACGGCTTTAATAGATGATGTACTATGCAAAAAATTGATATCTAAATAAGTAATTTTTCTAAAAATATGTGCATTCGTTCTTGAATTGAGCAGGTAAATAAGAGACACTGGAGTTCCATTGGCCAATGGAACAAGACACATTACATTATATTTGAAATAAGAAAAAAACAATCTGATTGTCTTATTTCAAGGGCATATTATTTAACTATCTTATTTTAAGAGTAAAAATACTCATTCCATTGGCAGATCATCTTATAAATACACTTAACTTAAGAAATGTTGACTGATTTTTAGATCGTTTTTTTACAGTGTAGGTGTCTTGATGATAAAGAGAGACTGTGCAAAAGGATGGTTCAGACATCACTCTGCACAGCTCTGACCTTGTGAACGGGCACAATAAGGAAGCGCTGTCTACTAAGGTAGAGTTAGCTTTCTTCCACTTTTATGTAAAGCATTAAAAACTTGGTGGATGCACTTTTGTCTTAAAAAAATCTTATTTCATCCAATGAAACCACTAGGTGTCATGCCAGAGCTACTGAATGCTAGCTCAATCCAAGTCCAAATTAAGATGTGAACCAAACTGACTATTTTTATTAATTAATTAATGTGTTTGTTTTGTTTTCCTTTCTCTTGGTAAAATGTTTTTGAGGAGTTGAGTTTGTCATGGAGGGATGCTGCTCGGTAACGCAGTGGGTAGCACTGATGCCCTTGCAGCCAGAAGGTTTCTGGTTCGATTCCCGGCCAGGGGTCTTTCTGCATGGAGTTTGCATGTTCTCCCTGAGCATGCATGGGTTCTCTACGGGTACTCCGGCTTCCTCCCAGAGTCCAAAAACAAGACAAGTTAGGTTAATTGGTTAATCTAAATTCTCCTTAGGTGTGAGCGTGAGCGTGTGTGTGTGAA